TGCGACCATCTCCCAGGGATGATCAGGAATGGGCAGGGGCCTCAGCAACCCCCAGGCCTTGGCTTTGTCTCCCTTGTTCCGCAGGCACACTGTGCACAACTTCACATAAGCTCTACAGTCATGATTCAGATTGGGCCTCCAGAAGGATCTCTGGATTAGTTCCATTGTCTTACGGGCTCCAAAGTGTCCAGCCAGTTGATGGTCATGAAAAGCCCTTAACACTTGAGACCTCACTTCTTGGGGTACAAAGATATTTTCCTTGTGCCACAGAAGGCCATCCTGCCTGCTAAGCGAATTTTGTTCAGGTTCAAGGCATAGTGCAGAGGCTTGCTTGATCAAAGACTTTAGGCTGGGTTGGATCAGCAGAAGATTTTGGGCCGACAAAATGGTGTTGGGGGAGAAGGCTCCTCTGGGTCCGGGAACATGCAAGAAAGGGCATCTGCCTTCCCGTTCTTGGAACCTGGGTGGTAGGTTATGTGGAAGTTAAACCTGGAGAAGTATAAAGCCCATCTAGCCTGTCGAGGTCTTAGGCACTTGGCGGACCTTAGATACTCCAGATTTTTTATGATCTGTGAATATCATAATTGGGTGGCTGGCTCCTTCCAAGAGATACCTCCATTCTTCGAAGGCTATTTTAATCGCTAACAGTTCCCTATCTCCCACATCGTACTTCCTCTCGGCTTGGCTCAGTTTCCTAGAACAAAAGGCTATTGTGTAAAGCAGAGCCTTTGGGCCCTGGCTGGAGAGTACGGCTCCTGTAGCAACTTCAGATGCATCTACCTCCAGGATGAAGGGGAGTGTTGGATCTGGATGTTGTAACACAGGAGTGGAGGTGAATTGATTTTTAATTGCTCAAATGCTTTTTGATCTTCCTGGCTCCAGCAAAATCGTGTATGCTGGCGGGTGAGTTGAGTAATAGGGACAATGATTGTGGAAAAGCCCTTAATAAACTTCCAGTAAAAATTGTCGAAACCCACAAATCTTTGGACCCCTTTCCTGTCTGAAGGTGCAGGCCAATCCAGGATAGAAGATACTTTCTGAGGGTCCATGGAGATCCCCTCGGTGGAAATTATGAGCCCCAGGAACTGAATGGACTGCTTCTCAAACTCACACTTCTCCGCCTTGGCGTACAAGCCATGCATTCTTAGAGTGTTTAGCACTTTCCTAATGTGATCACGATGAAGTTCAAGTGAGATAGAGAAAATTAGGATATCGTCCAGGTAGACTATCACAAAAAGGTCTAGGTATTCTCTAAAGATGTCGTTCACAAAATGTTGGAACGTAGCAGGGGCATTACATAGCCCAAATGGCATCACTAAATATAAAAATGTCTGAAGTGTGTTCTGAAGGCGGTCTTCCACTCACCGCCTTCTCTTATACGGACTAAATTGTAGGCCCCCTCGAAAGTCCAATTTAGTGAAGACTCGGGCTGTTCGAAATCTCTGAAATAACTCGGGCACCAGAGGAAGAAGTTTTTTATGGTAATTTTATTAAGTTCCCTGTAGTCGATGCACGATCTAAGAGACCGATCTTTTTTCTCTACAAAGAAAATACCAGCCCCGGCAGGAGAGGAAGAGGGGCGAATGAATCCTTTAGCGAGATTGTCATCTAGATAGTGCCGGAGGGCTTCCAATTCGAGCTCGGATAATGGGAAAATTTGCCCATTCCTGGGAGTAACTCAAATGGGCAATCGTAAGACCGATGAGAAGGCAATGTGTCAGCCTTCTTTTTATCAAACACATCGAGGAAGTCATGGTAGGTAGAGGGAACTAGTTGACTGGCCTCTGGTGAAGGTTGGACTGAGAGACATACGGAAGAATTGGTGGGTGTAGGGGCACCACAGTGTTGTAGACAATATTCTGAAGAAAAGATGATTTCCTTCTTGGGCCAAATGATCTGTGGGTTGTGGGTTTGCAATCAGGGTATTCCTAGGATGGCTGGAAACATGGGGGACCTGATCATGTCAAAACAAATAAACTCCTGATGGCCTGGAGTCGGTGGTTGCAAGAATAGGAGTGGTTTCCTGGGTAAGAGGTCCGGAACTCGGAGTAGTGCCATCTGCAAGTAAGACGTCAAGTCTCTGTTTCTTGGGCAGAAGAGGGATGTGTAAGTCCTTGGCCAATTGGATGTCTAAGAAGCAGCTACAAGCTCCCGAGTCAACGACTGCCCGCAACTTGGGCAAAACCCAAGTGAGCCGAAATGTCTGAGTACACTCAGTGTGTCTTTCCCGTAGACGCTGATCCAATCGGGTAGCGAGCAGGATAAGGTTCTCCAAGGAGGAGGGAGCTTCCACCCTAGCTAACTTGTCCTTGAGGGACTTGGACAGGCCTAGGCGGAACTGGTACTTCAATTCTGCATCGTTCCAACCGGTGTCTGCAGACCATTTACAGAACTCCACTATGTAGTCCTCCACAGGCCGCCGACCTTGTAGAAGAGAATGGAGGGCGGACTCAGCAGTGGAGGTCTTCTTGGGATCATCATAGAGGGCAGCCATGGCTTCAAAGAATTCACTCACTGATTTGAGTGCTGGGCTATTTTTTCCAGAAGACTATGTGCCCAAGACTGAGGTTCTTCAGACAAGAGGGAGATGATGAACTCGACCTTGACCTCTTCCAGAGAAAAGGTCCTGGGTTGCAGAGCAAAATATAATTCACAGGCATTCTTGAAAGCTCTGAACTTACGTCGATCCCCGAAAAAACATTCCGGAGTAGGAACTCTGGGTTCCGGAGGTGGTAACACAATAGCAGGAATGGTAGCAGGAGACTGACTGGCAGGTGCGGCTACTGGGTTGGAACTAGCGGAGGGATGCTGGTCCACGGAAGTAGAGAGGGAGTTAAGACGCCCTTCTAGCTGGAAGTATCCTTGCTGTAAATCCTTCACTGCTTGGGTAAGTGCCGTCATCTGTTGGCACAGGGCCTCTAGTGCGGAAGTGCCTCTCTCGGCCACGGACATACTGACTGGATGATACTATCACGTACCTGGTGATGGAGGCAATGCAGAGAGGGCTTCCCTTGCGGCTAAATTCCAGACTCCCCTGAGAGTGGGACAGCGGGAGTCAGGCCCAAAGTTACACAGGTTGCCTGTAGGAGTGCTGGTTGGTGGTCCACTTAGAAGCAAAGCTGGTGCACGGAGATAAGTCTGCAGACAGGAGGCGCCTGTGCGTGGTATGCAAGCCCTTCCGGGATTTGGATGTTTACTGGGTAGTTGGTTCAAGCCAAGGTCAGGTACCAGGTGGGAATCAGAGCAGACGTGGTCAGATGGGATAGCCGAGGTCATTCACAGAAGAGCGAGAGAGAGAGTATCCGTAAGCCAGGCCGAGGTCAGGTCAGGTCAGGAGTAAATTAGAGTAGACAGGTCCAGGAGCAAGCCGAGTCAGTAACAGGAGATCACAAGTCAGAACACAGGACCCGGGCACGGGAGCTAGAGATCATCCAGCAACCAGAGGAAGTGATGAGCCTTCTTATAAATGACCAGACTAAGGCTGATGTGTACTTCTGCGGCCATGTAGAGTATTAGCAGAAGTGCCAGGTCTTCCAGAACTCCTGCCGTGGATAGGACCCTGACACTTCCTTTTGTGTGTGATTAGGGATTCTGTGCTTTTTGTTTGATTTTGTGCCATAAATGCTATATAATGGTATGAACTGTAATTTTGGTCTGTTATAAGTGGGGCATTAACAGTGCTTTAGAGCACCAGCAGTGTCTATTGTGTCGTGGACTGATCTGCTGCTGTAGTGTTGTTTTGTGTCCACAAGATGGCATCTGTTTAGGTACTGAGCATGTGCAGTTCTTTGTCTACAAGATGGTGTCTGTTGAGGAACTGAGCATGTGTGGGGGCCATTTTAATGGTTATCTCTATATATAGAGGTGAAACAAACAATGGGTGCTACTTTATCACCATGTGCAGCTGAGCACAACGTCCAGCCACTATGTGACCTATTTTAATTCTTTATACTCCTGATGAAGCTCTGTTTTCTAGAGCAAAACATGTAGACTCTGTTTGTTTATCTTTGGGAGCACTTTTTGAATGCACATTGTATTCACTCTCTCTCCCCCCCCCCCCTTTTTTTTTTTTTTTTTTTTTTTGGAGAGGTATGTACTGCGTTTCTACAGTGCATCATTTGCATTCCTCAAGACAGTGAAGTATTTTTGGTGGATATGGTGATGTTTGGGGCTTTTCCATGAGAGGCTGATGTTTAAGCCCGTGGATGAGTGTACCCTTACTACATATCTGTAGCAAGATAGATTATACTATTCAATTAGTTTGTCCATGGGGTAACTCCATTCCTTAACAGAGATTATATATTCAAGCTGATAGGCTTATGATCCAGCTACAGTACCTCTTTGTATGCCATCACTTCATCTAAACCAGTATGGTATTTGATTTTGGTCTGGTGTTATCAACCATTTGGATGTAAGGTAAACAATTGCAATAGTATTCAATTATATTGTGCGCAGCACATTCCACTCCAACAGGCATTAATTGCAGCATACATGTTTAATATATTTGAATAAAGGTTATATTTTAGACTCCTCAATTGTCCAGATGGTGCGTAGGGAAACGCACCCTCGTTCAGTATAGATTTATTTTACAGAAAATGACAGTGGTTTTAGCTATGGCTTATGTAGCAAATGTATATGATATACAGATGCATCTCAATAAATTTGAATATCATCAAAGTTAATTTAATTTATTTCAGTAATTCAATTAAAAAAGTGAAACTCCTATATTCTAGAGATTCAGTACACAGAGTGATACATTTCAAGCATTTCTTTCTTTCAACCGCTTTCCCGCTGCCCTATAGCAGAAATACTGCTACAGGGTGGCATGGGTGCACAAAATCACGTGTGTGTTTTGCATTTCCAAGTAGGGGCTCATGTGAGCCACACGCGCGTCCTACCCGCACCACTATTCATGGCCTCGGCTGTCAATCACCGTGTCCCAGCCGGTGATTACTCGCCGGCACCCAGTTTTCTGAGTATTACTGACGGGGGGAGAGAACTGTCTGTAAACAATACAGTTCGCTCCCGTCAGCTCCAGCACACTGCAGAGCCATACAAAACCATGTGCTTACAGTTGAAAGCACATGCACAGCTTACTGTGAAACCGCACACAGTTACCCCTTTGATCACCCCAGATGTTAACCCCTTCCTGCCCAGTGCCATTAGTACAGTGTCAGTGCTTTTTATTAGCTGGGGATGTCAGTGACACCAAGTCAGTTCCCCCCAGTGTCAAAATGCTCTCTGCAGTTCCGCAGTCCTGCTATAAGTCGCTGATCACCGCCATTACTAGTAAAGAAAAAAAAATTCCAGTATCTATACTGCTATTTGTAATCACTATAATTTTCATGTAAACCAATTAATTTACACGTATTGGGATTTTTTTAGCAAACACATGTCGCAGACTACATTTTGGCCTAAATTTATAATGAAATTTGATTTTTTAAATTTTTTTTACTGGACATTAACCACTTCAAGCCCAGACACTTTCACCCCCTTCCTGTCCAGGCCAATATTCAGCTTTTTTCAGCGCTATCACTTTGAATGATAATTGCGCGTTCATGCAACTCCTGTATCCATATTAATATTTTAGCATTTTTTTGAGACAGATAAAACTTTATTTTGGTGGTATTTATTTTTTTGCTATATAAATGAATATGTCCAAACATTTTGAAAAGTGTTTTTCTTATAAAATTTGGCAAATAAATAATCTTTATTCATAAATCTTGGCCAAAATTTATTCAGTTATCTATTTAGTAAAAACAAAATAACCCAAATTAGTTTATAGCCAAAAATATATTTTTTTTAAACATTTTTTACTTTTTTTTTATATTTTTTTTCCATACTATCACCATAGTGACACTGTACTACTTGTGGGGGTTGATGAAGATTTTTTTTTTTTGTTGTACTGATTGCTTTTATACCCATAAAGGCTGTAAAATGATGTCATAAGTGGCATCTTGCTTACTATTCATGTGATCACTGATTGGCCAATCAGTGATTACACGATCGGGACCTCACACAGAGGGCACAGTGGGCACCGGATTGTGGTGCCACTCCCAGGGAGAACGCACAAGCAGTGAGCGGGGAGGACGTTTTAAACTGCCACCTGCCCCTGTCTGGCTGTTTATATACATGGGTCGGACGGGAAGTGGTTAATAGCAAAAATATATATTTTTTTTCTCAATTGTATTTTTTTTTTTTTACAAAAAAAAAAAAAACGCACAAGCGATCAAATACCACCAAAATAACTCTATTTGTGGGGAAAAATGAGGTAAATTTCATTTGGGTGCAGAGTTGCAATTGTAAGTTAAAGTAATGCAGCACCGTAATGCAAAAAATAGCCTGATCAGGAAGGGGGGTAAATCCTCTGGAGGGCAAGTGATTAATTTTGATTAAGGCTTACAGCTAGTAAGAAAAGGATTTTGAATACAGATGTTGGCTTACTGAAAAGTATGTCCATGTACAGTATAGTATGTCTGGTGTTTCTCATCTTCCTTTAGACAATACCCTACAGATTCTCTATGGGGTTTAGGTCAGGCGAGTTTGCTGGCCAATCAAGCACAGTGATACCATGATCATTAAGCCAGGTATTGGTACTTTTGGCAGTGTGGGCTGGTGCCAAGTCCTGGAAAATGAAATCATCTCTATAAAGCTGGTCAGCAGTGTACACATCTGTATTTTTTTCTTCTTAGTGTACCAAATATTTTTCTTGTTCTTACAAGTGTGGAAAATGCATGTTGCCTGGCTGTGCAGAGCATAGTGGGACCAAAAATAAATCCAGTGGCCCTTACGAGGGCAGTGCTACATACATATCAGGCTACTGCAGGCAGAAAAGAAGGCATTTTCTGTGCACTGCATTTTGTTTTTAGATTACTTACAAGGCCTTGTTCACATGAGCATAGTACAGTGTACACCCATGCAAGGGCTATGTTACCTGCATGGGGATGCACAGGTGTGCAGCTCTGCCTAGGATTACATATAAAATACTAGTGAATTAGGCAGTAATGAGCTAACAAAGCTGAAATCACAAGTAATTTTATCACCCCTAATTAAATTATCCCTGAATGGGCTACAGATTGCCTCCCCTTGCCTGACCTCCATAACACAAAGGGAGCTGCTCTGTAGCCTAACAGAGGAGAACCCAAACAGGACTGATGAGATTGATTTGAATTTAAAGCAGAACTAAACTTTCATCAGCATTTAAGTGATTGCAAAGGCAGATTTTTTTTTAACTACTTCAAGTCCGGACAGTTTCACCCCCTTCCTGTCCAGGCCAATTTTCAGCTTTCAGCGCTATCACACTTTGAATGACAATTGCGCGGTCATGCAACACTGTAGCCATATGCATTTTTTTGAGACAGATAAAACTTTATTTTGGTGGTATTTATTCACCACTGGGATTTTTATTTTTTTGCTATATAAATGAAAAGGTCCAAATATTTTGAAAATGTTTTTCAAAATAAAATTTTGCAAATAAATCATCTTTTTTCATAAATCTTGACCAAAATGTATTCAGTTATCTTTTTAGTAAAAAAAAAAACCCAGATTAGTTTATAACCAAAAATTATAAATTTTCAAAAAAAAAGTTTTACTTTTTTTTTAATTTTTTTTACATACTGTCACCCTAGCAGTAAAGTGCCACCATAGTGCCACTGTACTAATTGGGGGTTGTGAAGATTTTTTTTTTTTGGCCAATCAGTGATCACATGATCGGGACCTCACACAGAGGTCCGGTACAACGATCGGTGTTCCACTGTGTCCGGAGGCCACCCGCCCCTGCACTGCTCCCGTGCGGCCATTTATATACATGGGCAGGAAGGGAAGTGGTTAAATAACAAACATCATACTTACCTGCTCTGTGTAATGGTTTTGCACAAAGCAGCCCCAATCCTCCTCCTCTTCTTGGATCCCCTGCAGCACTCCTGGCCCTTCCCCCTGCTGAGTGCCCCCATAGTAAGCTGCTTGCTCTGGGTGCACTTGTGTGTGCTCGCTCCCCACTTGCCTCTGTGGAGAGAAGGCTTTTTTACCTTTATGCATAGAATTCATGAGCTTAAAAGCCTTCTGCCTTTACAACAACTTTAACTAACTATATTTAGCCCTTATGCTGCCAGCATTAGTCAATAGATAGGAAGTTATATTGTATTTGCTTGTTTTAAACTAATTTTTTTTTTTCAGTTGCTTCCTGGTTTGTGGCCTAGGCCAAAATGTCATACATCCCAGGATTTTCCATGGGCATGTTTTTTCTTCATCTGGAGGAGGGGCTTTCTCAGCGAAGCTAAAGCAGAGCTCCACCCAAAAGGGAAGTTCCACTGTAAGGACTGCTCCCCCACTCCCCATTAAGGATTGGCACTTTTGGGGGGCGAGCGCCTGAATTTGACAGGTACCCACTCCCACTTCTGGTCCGATTGCCTAGGCAAGAGGAAGGTGTCCTCCCTCCCTGTAGTCTTTTGGGACATGTGACAGGTCCCAGAAGACTACAGGACCATTCAGGGCACAGCACTACTTGCGCATACGCAGTAGGTACCCGGCTGTGAAGCCACAAGCTATCACAGCTGGGTGCCCACACTAAAGATCCCGGCCTCCTGGAATACAGGTTGGCCGATGAAATGGGCTTCGGGGGACGAGTAAGTGGCAGTTTTTGTAGCTGCTGACTTTTATTTTTTGACAGGGTGAGTGGAACTCCTCTTTAAGGGCACAGTTTCCAGGAAGTATATGCTACATGAATCATCTGCACCTACATAAGATGGCCATGGCTAGAAATGCTGGAGGGGGGGCTCAAAGTGATTTCTCTGCAAAATAAAGTATGGAGACATGGATGGATGGGTGATTTTTGCTTTAAATATAAAGAATTAATTAAATAGTATTTTCAGTTTGTGCTGCTCAGATACTGTTACTGTACATTCCATTTTAAGTGTAACAGAGGCAGCAATTTCAGAGATTTAATTAGTGCCTAATTCATTGGCATTTATATACATGCACTTATATCATCATTGGCGTGTATTTTATAAACCATGCACATGCAGGAGTATCAGCCCAGAAAGGATCAATAGTATACAAAGTTGTATGAATTTAACACGCACTTTTCTCTAGTTTAATCTTCAAAGAGCTGTACACATATTGATATTACCCTCCTCCTGTACAATGTCCCCACTTATTCTGCATTGCCTTTGAAGTTGCCAGAACCATAATTTAGTCCTAACGAAGTTCACAAATTTCTCCAATGACAAGGATTTCCTATGGAGAGACAACCAAGAGGTACAAATGAATATTTTATCTGTGTGTTCAGTCCAATCCTTTCTTGTCAAAACTGTGCTTGTGCTCCATAATGAATTCAGAGGTGTGTTCACTGCTTTATCCTTCCATTATGTGGAAAAGTGTACTTTTTTATATTGTAATTATTGCATCTTATGATCTTTGCACAGTATGCTGAATTAATAAAGTTCCAATATTACACGCAATGGTGTAATGAATGCTGAACAGAACCTAATAATCATAAAAAAGTAATAAGAGATGGTTGAGAAAAAGTGAAGCAATATATTAAATATAACGATGAGGTTCGGAAATTGTATTTTTTTTTTTTTTTAATCCTTAAAACTATTACTGGCAGAGGAGTATTAATTTAAAGTGGATTCATAAATAGAGAAAAGCGGAAAAACAATTACACTTTATGGTGATATTTATTTTCTATATTGACCCTTTTTTCCTATTGCATAAGACGAATGGGAAAAAAAAAAATATATATATATATATATATATATAATATATATATATATCTCTCTCTATGTATATCTCATAAAGCAGCATTACATTTATTTATTCATTGTGTTCTTTTTTTATATTTTATTTAAATAGCAATAAAAAAAAGAACCCTCAGGGGGGGCTGGGCAAGTTCAAACAAGAAAAAAGGGTTAGAATCATCCAGATAGCATCATTACTGCTGCAGCCTACTGTCTACAGTCTATCCCTTTCACATGGGGCAGACCAAGCGTGTCCGCCTGTCTGTTTTTCAGATGGACCAGATTGGACCACTCAGTGTTCTCTATTCCTTTTACTCCTCCTTTTAACACCTACCTACATCCGATTCGATCCAAT